GTAATAATAACGACAGTAATGGCAATGGTCTTAATGCTCTACCGTGCTTTTCTTAGAGCCTCACAACAACTGGATGAGGCCAGTAGCATGATTCCTGTTTACAGAGGAGGCAGCCAAGTCTCAAAGAGCTTAGACAATTTGTCCAAAGTCATATTGCTAGAAGAGGGAGTGAAATTGCTAGCATAATAAGGTGATCAAATTGCAAGGGGAAGGGGCTTCCCCGGTGGCCTCGTGGTGAAGAATCCACCAGGGCAGGAGACACGAGTTCAATCCCCAGTCCAGGAAGACCCCACAGGCTGCAGAGCTGCTGAGCCTGTGCGCTAGAGCCCGGGAGCCGCCGCCACTGGAGCCCGAGCACCCGAGAGCCCGTGTTCGCAGCGGGGGAGACCGCCGCCCTGGGGAGGCCGTGTGTTGCTACTGGAGAGTGGTCCCCGATTGCCGAAACTGGAAGAGCCCACGCGGCAACTGGCGACCCGGCACAGCCGCACATAAATAAAACTTGTTTTTAATTGCAAGGGGAACCTGTAAGTCTAACTTTAGTTTCCACTGGGATGTGCATAATCTTAGTGACTTTTTTTTTTGGGCTGTGCCATGTGGCATGTGGCATCTTAGTTCCCCACTCAGGGATCAAACTCACGCCCCCAGCATTGGAAGCACAGAATCGTGACCGCTGGACCACCAGAGAAGTCCCCTCTAGGTGATTTTTATTAGTGGTGGTTAAGTATAATTTATGTCCTAGAATTAAGCAGAGAAGACCTTTCAAGGTTTTCTTATGGGGGAAGTGGTTAGGGGCGGGGGCGGGGGCACAGATCTTGGCATTTGTGTTGCATACACATCCTAATCATGTCCTTCTGGTTGTACGTGCACAAGGCTTTCGGTGGTTGAGAATTGACTTGGGGGACTGTGTAAATGGTGTCACAAAGACTGTTCTTGGCACCTTTTGTCCCAATCTGGTTTAAGGGACAGGTCGGGAACCTTGTTTCTTTCTCCTTTTTAAAGAGAGGAATGAAAAACACACTTGACTGGGACTTCCTCAGCCCACAGGCCCGCCCAGCTGCAGTTTGATTCCGCTCCTGTTCTTTATGGAGAACAAAGTCAAGTCTCTTCGCAGGTGGCTGTTGGCAGTGTATCAGGAGAAGGCCCCTCATCCTTTTAAAGAAACAGAGCAAATATTTTTCTTCTGACAAAAGAGAGACTGTGACGGTGTTTTAGTCCCTTTGACTTCGTGCCGTCCCCCAGACTTCTCTCCTTTGTGTTTTTTTTTTTTCCCAGACTTCTCTTCTTTGAACCGTTGGTGTGTTTAGGTCTCTGGGAAGTGGTAGACAAGCTCTGTGGTAATCCTGAGCTTTAGTTTTTGAGCTTTCTTGATAACTGGTATTTGTAGCAGCTCTTCCTTTTCCTTCTGGTTCATGTACGAACTTAGGATTGCATCACAGTTTTCTGAATCACCCGATGTCTATGACCTATATTTTCTTCTTCCTCTTGAGTTACATGAGGTCAGAAGGTCAGGTTTTTTTTTTTTTTTTTAGGAATTGGATTGTTGCTGTTTTCACCACATGTTGTAAGATTATCAATGGTTTAAATACGTTTCTCTCAAAGTACTTTTAATGTTGTACCATAGGACAACACGGGGTTTCCCTGGTGGCTCAGATGGTAAAGAATCTGCCTGCAGTGCGGGAGACCTGGGTTCGATCCCTGGGTGGGTAAGATCCCCTGGAGGAGGGCAAGGCAACCCACTCCAGTATTCTTGCCTGGAGAATCCCCATGGACAAAGGAGCCTGGCGGGCTACGGTCCATGGGGTCGCAAAAAATCAGACACGACTGAGCAACTCAGCACAGCACAACAGTGTCCGGAACCCTCAGAACTCATTTCTGCTGAAGACCTCCAAATTAGGTAAAAGAACGATTGGCTCTAAGAAAAATTACAGTTTTAGTAAATGGATGGGAACTATATTTCTGCCATCCTCCTGGTTAGTGATTATTCAGCTTTGTGGCAGTTTCACTTCCAGACTTTCGGTTTTGAAGCATGAGTTGTCACGGTCACCAGGGAGATAATCTCCTTTCAGTTAGAGGTTGGCCTGCACCGCGTTGACACAGTCAGTGTGGACATCCGTACGTTTGTGTGCTGCTGGCGGACGAGAACTGTACTACGAGGATACAGGCTGGAGTTTGTTCCTTACTCACTCCTGACAGCCTTGTGCCATATGCAACTAGGAACTCAGATTTACATCTTTCTGTAGATCCCTTCTGACTTTTTCTATTTTAATATTCCAAAGAGAAATCTCATTTCAGCACAGGCAGTAAGTATTTTCCATTCTGTATTTGGATGTGTCTTACTGTGTACTTTTTAGATTGCAACCTTTCATGAAATGTAAGGAGTTTATTATTGTTTGACTTTTTACAATAAGCAATTATTGCTTTTTAAATTTAAAAAATGAACAGTGCCTTTTCTGATGATGAAGTCACCTATAATCCTACCACCCAAAGAGAACCATGGTTTAATGCTTTTTAATAATTTTTTTGTATCATTATTTTTAAAGTTTTTTTAAAAACAAAATTGAGATCACACTGTATATATATATATATATAAATTTTGTGTTTTGTCTTTATCATTTAACATTTTATTCACATCATTAAATATTTTAAGAATAAATTTTGAATAGGTAATTTAAAAAATGAAAATGACATAAAATGGAAGCACTGAGAAGTCCAGCTTCCATCTTTGTCTCTGATCACCTTGTCCCTTCAGTCTCTGATAAATGACCATTAGTTTCTCCTCTTTTTCAAAAGGTAGCCTTGCTATATACATTGTTCTGCTGCTTGCTTTTTCCCCCTCTGAACAATGTGTCTTGGAGATCTTTTGTTATCAGTACTCAGAGAATCTTCCTTACTATAGGTTAGTCATCTTGTCCCCTTTAGATGGGCACTTGGGTTGTCCCCAATTTTTACTATTGCAGATATTAAGTAGTAATTAAAGGGAAAAAATTACACATTTACTTTACTTCAGTTATTAAGGGAAAATTCTTTCCAAAAGAATGCCAGTAATGTAGAAATAATTATGGAATTGGAAAAATCAACATATTCCAGCCCCCAAATGAAATAATTTGTGAAGGAATCATCAGTAACTGCTAAACTATTAAGCAAAAGGTTGAAGAGGAACGGCATATTCACAGGGTGCCAAACGTTAGCCACAGGTTGCTTACTGTAAAGGAGGAAATATGCCTTCTATGAAGAGCTCTGGCTGCTACAGACTCGACTAAGTGATCATGTTTTGCCAGATGATCACGTAGTTTACCAGATCTCCCTGAGTGGGGCAGTCTGAGAACTGCATTGTGAGGTACGTAGGTAGCATCACCTATGAAGCATTCTTTCCCAAACCTCTCAACCTCGATCTAGTCAGTGTTTACAGGAGGTGTTAGGGATAGAGAGGCAAGCTGAATGGCACTGTGAGGAAATAATCAGACGTAACAGTCAACTACAAGTCATCAAGTCAGCTGTTCTGGTCTTTCTAGAAAGCTTGTGTTGTAAACAAACAAACCATGAACAGAATCAACCAGAATAAAACTTGGAGGCCATTCTAGAATAAAAGAGGCTAAAGAGACATCATCCAAATTCATTTCTTGAGCCTTGATTGGGTTCTGGATTTTTTTTTTTTTAAACCACTATTAAAGACACTTTTTGGAGTATTTGGTGTATTAAAGACACAAATGATAATGGGTTTGGTAATAGTGTTGTAGCTATGAAGCTAAATGTCCTCGTTCTTAAGAAATGCACAGTGAGGTGTATAGGGTTAGACTGTCTCCATGCCTGCTCAGATGGTTCACAGTAAAATTAAAAGTGACCCTTCTGTATCTCTATCCATGGAGACAAATGAGGCAAATTTGACTATATATTAACAGTTCATGAGCCTAAGTAATGAGCAGTATGTATTTATTCTACTGTGTTCTCAACTTTTTTATTTGAATTTTTTCATAGAGTTGAAGAAACAGTGCCGCAATGAGTAACAATTATATATGTATTTTCAAATTTCTTTAATTTTCACATGTGTGTTTGTTTTGCTGCTAGTTGACATTTCAGTGGAATTTGTGTTTATTTTGTGACAGTTTTATGCCGTTAAGGCTTGCAGTGGATGATTAAAAAGGAAATGAAATTTTTTCTTCTCTTTCCTCCTCTATCGTTTATTCTGGAACTTGAGTGGAGATGAGAAAAAGAGAATGAAAGGTACCTCAAAGTAGCTCTGTGCTCTTGCTTTTAGGTAGGAGACAGAACCAAAGCCAGTACATAAGAACCATACCTCAAGTAATACCTTTTAAATCAATAACCCATCTTTTGCTTTGGAGGCTGCCCAAGTGATCAGGAGGGGGTCCTAGCAGTTAGGCAAGACGCATGGCACAGAGGAGGGAGTGCAAATATCATGTTGTGATTTGTCTTGTTTTTGACAGGGTTTTAGACCTTTTGGTTAGTAGTAAAAGTTCTTAGTTGCCTGATAAAAAGAATAATTCCTTTTGACGATGGTCTGTTTTTTAAAATTCTGTTTGTTTATTTGGCTACACTGGGTCTTAGTTGTGGCATATGGGATCTAGTTCGCCAACCAGGGATCGGACCCGAGTGCCTTGTGCTGAAAGTCTGGAATCTCAGCCACTGGGCCATCAGAGAAGTCCGGTTCTGTCCTTTGGACACAGGCTGAGCTACGGAGGGTAGAAGAGGAATTTAAGGGTGAAATGTTCTTGGATGAAAAGTTACGGAAGAAGTGGCTTTTCTGAGAAGGTGTCATTACATATGAAGAGAATAGTACTTTCATCTCTCAACTAGAGTCGTATTTGAGGTGGGAACTTGCTGTGATCGCAGAATAGATGCTCTTTGACATTAAATGTCTTACCTTAGATTTCCATGAAGACACCTTCCGAGGATCTGCATGGCCTCAGTTTAGCCGCTTCGGTGTGTGGAGCTGTGGCTCGCTCCCCCTCCCGTGCCTGGTGTGACTGTGCCTGCTGATCGCCATGAAGGTTGTTCCAGAGAAGAATGCTGTCCGGATCCTTTGGGGGCGAGAACGGGGCACTCGGACCTTTGGGGCTCAGCGACTTCTGCAGGAGCTGGTTGAAGATAAAACCCGGTGTATGAAATGGGAGGGCAAGGTAAGAAACCTGGTTGTTCTTCACAGGGAAGAACAGCAGAATGAGGCCTTAGAATGAGTTAGTGACATAGAGTTGGCACACAGTTTATTTTGTGCAGCAGAATTGATATATCTAACTTAGGTTTCTTTGTTGTTTTGGGGTGTTGTGTTTTTGTTTTTACAAATATGGAAACATTAATGGACTAGAAATATCTTTTTTCTTTGGAGCTAGATTTCCTGAAGGTAATTCAGATTTTAGTTCAGTTCAGTTGCTCAGTCATGTCTGACTCTTTGCGACCCCATGAACTGCAGCACACCAGGCCTCCCTGTCCATCACCAGCTCCCAGAGTCCACCCAAACCCATGTCCATCGAGTCGGTGACACCATCCAACCATCTCATCCTCTGTTGTCCCCTTCTTCTCCTGCCCTCAATCTTTCCCAGCATCAGGATCTTTTCCAATGAGTCAGCTCTCTTCGCATCAGGTGGCCAAAGGATTGGAGTTTCAGCTTCAACATCAGTCCTTCCAATGAACACCCAGGACTGATCTCCTTTAGGATGGACTGGTTGAACCTCCTTGCAGTCCAAGGGACTCTCAAGAGTCTTCTCCAACACCACAGTTCAAAAGCATCAATTTAGATTTATCTCTCTCAATTTGTAGCTTGATCGTTGTCTCCAGTTTTTCAGCTTATACTGTAAATACTAATCTATGTAGAATAGTGCATTTGAGATAGAGTGAACCATAGTTTATAAGTAATGTATTTTAACTTTTGTTTGTTTATTTCTCAGAGAGTAGAACTGCCGGATAGTCCACGCTCCACCTTTTTATTGGCTTTCAGCCCAGACAGGTACGTAGTTCTTACCTAAACTCTACCTGAGACTTGGTTTCTGTGTATTTTGGTAGTGTTGGTTTCTGTGTATTTTGCTGAGCTTCATCCAAGTGAAATCCCTAAAGACTCTTTGAGGCACTGAATGAACAGAACTTTGCCAGTGTTATCATAAAGAGGGAAAATAGATGACCAGTGCTAACCATTAAAATAATGGGAATAAGCAAAGGAACCTGTGAACATCAAGGATCAAAACTTGGAAAGTTTCTCAGTCCTTTGCCTGTGTGATACAGGCCACTAATAGCATAATAATTTTCCCTGCTGGAAAAAGTATTTTCTGAAGGGGTTATGTGTCATTTGGGGGCAGAATGGAGAAGCCAGGAGCTTTAAAAGATGAGAATGTTTCTGTTGTTAGTAAAGCCCAAGGTGTAGTTTTTTCCCTGTTGGGATGGGGAATGAGTTTCAATTTTCTCTGTTGTCCAAAGCTGATAGTTTGTTAATCCTCCCACGTGCTGTACATTGACTTCCTCCTTTTTGGTTCCCTAGGACTCTCTTGGCTTCCACTCACGTAAACCATAATATCTATATCACGGAAGTGAAGACGGGCAAGTGTGTTCACTCGCTGATTGGACACCGCCGCACACCATGGTGTGTCACTTTTCATCCCACCATCTCAGGCCTCATCGCTTCTGGCTGCTTAGATGGGGAAGTTCGGATCTGGGATTTGCATGTAAGTGTTTCCTTTTCTTTGGTACTCTAGATGCAGAGACTTATTTACCCTTGCATTCTTGACTCTGAAGGAGAGACTAGCCATGTTCCAGGACCATACCTGAGTACTTCGTAGTTATTGCTTACTTACTGAGAGGGAGTTGAGCCCACAGTGCTCCGTTTCAAGTGCACCCTGTTTAACTATCTGCCCATTGTGGGACCTGCTGAGACATCTTCAGGATGGATTTCTCTTTTCTGAGATGTACTGTTACTCTGATCACGATCGTCAGGCAGTGTGCGCCTTGTCCTGGAGACTGGCTAGTGGGTTGTTGTGTACCATGTTACGCACTAAAGCTTGAGTTTTCACAGACTGTAGAAACAGGTGCTCATTGCTTATAGATTGTAGATGACAGAACTGAATTGACAGTAATGTTTTTCTAGTAAATTTGGTGACATTGCCAGATCATTGATTTTGTATCTGGTTTTCAGAAGACATATTTAAAGTAGGCCCTACAAGTAGTCATTTTACCCCACCTGGACCCTTTTGTTGAAGTCAACTTAGTTCGCTGGCAGCTTGTAACTTGAGAATGCCTGGGATTTGTTCATTCACAGGGTGGCAGTGAGAGCTGGTTCACAGATAGCAACAATGCCATTGCCTCCCTGGCTTTCCACCCCACGGCTCAGCTCCTGCTGATTGCCACTGCCAATGAGATCCACTTCTGGGACTGGAGTCGCCGGGAACCGTTTGCCGTGGTGAAGACCGCTAGCGAGATGGAACGGGTCCGGTGAGCGCTCGGCACCAGCAGTGTCTGGCGTAGGATTAACATACAGAAAACGTTTACCGGTGCTCTCACCCCAAGAGACAGACAGTTCTCTCTGCATCGTCCCAGCTCAGGGCAGGGTGTTACCCTGGGGCTCTTCATGCTTTTTAAGCCGTTGGCCAATCAGCCAGGAAGTGGTGCGTGGTGTTCATTTCAGCTGCTCCTTGTTGGCCTCATCTTCACGTCCTTGTAGATGAAGGCCTTTAGAATCTTTTTTAGGTTCAAAGCTATCTGGTTTGGGATAAAGACTTGTGTTTTTTGAACCTTAAAAGGTGTTCAGGTGGTGGGTAGCTTGGTGGGTAAATTGCTCATCCCTGGTTTTCTGTTATTCAAAATGGAAAGTGGAGATGTAGGTAGGTATCAAGTGTGCTAATATTTACACATGTAGCCTTCAAAGTCAGTGCACATACTGCCTGAATCAAAGTCGATGCATTGTCTCCCTTTGGTCCTCTTGGTATTGCCATTGGGTCTTCACCCCCGCAGGTGGGCTGCTCGACACTGGGACTGTTCCCTGTCCCCAGCCCTCACACTCCTCGCCAGGGTAGCAGCTGTGGGAGGGGAGGCGCGAACCTGCGGCAGAGCATGGAAGCGTCCTCTGCTTTACCATCATGACGGGCTCTTGGCCATGAGCGGCTGTGTGCTTAATGTAGCTGCTTCCTGGGATGCAAGCCCAGGGGTGTTCTTGAAATTGTTTTTGTGAAATGTATTCCCTTACTCTGGCAGGTGTGACAAGAAGGAGTGAGCTTTATTATTTTAATCGGTTTGAAAGTTTTGGAAGTCTCTAGCAATTAGGTGGATGCCTGGGTAAATCCCACAGTTGTCAATACGATCACTAGAAATTTTCTCATGGGTTTCCTTTCATCAGTTAACAGAATTTCTCTCTCCGTGTCTCTGTCCGTTTCTTCTGTGTTTTCAGTCTGGTGAGATTTGATCCCCTTGGACACTACTTACTCACAGCAATTGTTAACCCCTCTAATCAGCAGGTAAGTTAGTCAGCAGGTCCAGCTCCATCTAAACTGTGGGTTGTTTGCTCAAGTAGTGCTCGGATTCTGATGGTATTGGACTTTAATTTTCAATGTCCGAGTGTTTCTTTCCAGTCAAGATTTAAAACTAGCCACAGACCATATCCAAAGTTAGAGCCGTAGGTCTTGACGGGGGAGTCCATCCTGAAACCCCTGAGCGATCGTCCCGGTAGAAGTAACCAGACTGCGTCGGATAACTGGTCATTCAGGTGCCTTTGGCTGGCTGACGTCTTGCTTCCCCTCACAGCCTCCGTGTCGTGGAAATGCCTATTGTAAGAGAATTGGGTGCCAGCTGAACTCGTTGAGAAATGTTGCTAGTTGAAGTGAATGATTTAATACCGTATGATGATTCCGAATCTGGACCCAGTTAGTTCTCAGTGCTTCAAGGGTGGCGTTGTTGCCTCTCTAGAATGAGTGTTGTCCTTGGATGATTATCAGTAATTTCTCTGGATTTACCTGGAAGTTCTACCTAACTGCCTGGCTCTGCCCCCGCCCCGCCTTGGTCCACGTTGCAGGGTGATGACGACCCAGAGATCCCCATAGACGGAGCAGAACTGTCACACTACCGTCAGCGGGCCCTCCTGCAATCTCAGCCAGTGCGCCGGACGCCTCTCCTCCACAATTTCCTGCACATGCTGTCCTCCCGCTCTTCTGGCATCCAGGTGGGAGAGCAAAGCACAGTGCAAGAGCCTGCCACCCCCTCACCCCCACCGCCTCCCCCTCAGCCCTCCACGGAGCGCCCCAGGACTTCCGCTTACATCCGGCTCCGACAGCGGGTCAGTTACCCCACAGCTGAGTGCTGCCAGCACCTTGGGATCCTGTGCCTTTGCAGCCGCTGCTCGGGCACTCGAGTTCCTTCCCTCTTGCCACACCAGGACAGTGTCCCCCCTGCCTCTGCCAGGGCTACTACCCCTTCCTTTTCTTTTGTGCAGACCGAGCCCTTCCATCCCCCGGAGCAGGCCTCGCCAGCGCCGCACGACCCGGGCCTCCTGAGCCGGCCGTCGGCCTTCAGTACAGTCCAGAGCAGCACCGCCGGCAACACGCTCCGCAACCTCAGCCTGGGTCCCCCCCGGCGCTCCCTGGGAGGCCCTCTGTCTGGCCACCCTTCCAGGTACCACCGGGACATAGCCCCCGGGCTGACGGGATCCGAGTGGACCCGGACAGTGCTCAGTCTGAACTCTCGCTCCGAGTCGGAGTCCATGCCCCCGCCCAGGACCAGCGCCTCTTCGGTGAGTCTGCTCTCTGTGCTGCGACAGCAGGAAGGTGGCTCGCAAGCCTCTGTGTACACTTCAGCCACAGAAGGGAGGGGTTTTCCAGCCTCGGGGTTGGCAGCTGAGGCAGATGGAGGGAACGGCTCCAGCCAGAACAACCCGGGCAGCATCCGCCATGAGCTTCAGTGTGACCTGAGACGCTTCTTTCTGGAGTATGACCGGCTTCAGGAGCTGGACCAGAGCCTCAGTGGGGAAGCCCCCCAGGCCCAACAGGCCCAGGAAATGCTCAACAATAACCTCGAATCCGAGCGGCCAGGTCCGTCCCACCAGCCCACCCCGCACAGCAGCGAAAACAACTCCAGCCTGTCCCGGGGCCACCTGAACCGCTGCCGCGCGTGCCACAACCTGCTGACCTTCAACAACGACACCCTGCGCTGGGAAAGAAGCGCACCGAACTACTCCTCTGGCGAGGCCAGCTCCTCCTGGCAGGTCCCCGGTCCCTTTGAGGGCATGGCCGCGAGCGGCAGCCAGCTGCCCCCGCTCGAGCGGACTGAGGGCCAGACGGCCAGCTCCAGCAGGCTGGAGTTGGGCAGCGCTGCTAGCCCGCAGGAGGAGAGGACTGTGGGGGTGGCCTTCAACCAGGAGACGGGCCACTGGGAACGCATTTACACCCAGGCCAGCCGATCTGGAACTGTGTCACAGGAGGCCTTACATCAGGATCTGCCGGAGGAGAGCTCCGAGGAGGATTCTCTCAGGAGGTAAGCAGGTGCTTCCCTGTCTCCTCCTGCGTCCCTTCCTTTTCTCCTGATGCCTCTTCCTTCAGCCCTGTGGGTCTTGGTGGCTGGATCTGGAGTATCTGGGACCCATGCATCTGGTTCTGATCTCCCTAGCTTCCATTGCATCTTCGTGGAAAATCTTGCTGTGGTGGTGGAAAGAGGATAAGGCCTGGCAGCCTGAGTTCAGTGACTCTGCTCACTCATGTGACTCTGGCTTGGCTCACGTGTCGTTTAGTCTTAAAGGAGAGTTGTGGGTGAGGTTCGAGAGGCGTGAGGAGGTAGAACCACGAACTTCCTCCGCTCTGCTTTTTGGCCTCCTTAAAGGATTGTCTGTGTGGGACTGGTTATCGTTAAACAACAAAACATCCCAGAGAGGCTAGGGGAAAAAAAATTTCTAATAGTAATAGAGAACCCTGCTTGGGACAGATTAGTGTACTGGGTCTTTCTATTGCTTTGGACAAATTCTTAAACCTCATCTTTTGGAACACTTCAACTTGACAAAAGGAAAAGAAAATAGTGTGTGTGTGTATATATATATATATATATATATGTCAAGGATGATTTTTTTTCCTGTAGATATGTATATGTATATATTTTTTTTGGACAGTAAGGACAGGGAGGCCTGGCATGCTGCAATTCATGGGGTCGCAAAGAGTCGGACACGACTGAGCGACTGAACTGAGCTGAAGTTACTTAAGAGTTTTTTTGAGTAGCTCTTTCCAGAGGGACATCACCTGCAGGTGGGGAAGAAGAGATTCATAGAAGGAAGGCCTCTTCATACTTGGCTTGGCATCCCAGGCAGCTCTTTCACGGTAGACACAGCGTGGGTGTGGTTGATCGCCCACCACATGTTCCGTGTATGGCTGCGTGTGCATCTATCTTGATTTATTAGGGACTTCTTTCTGTAATTCCGTAAAGGTCAGATCTAGCGTAATCACCGACTCCCAGAATATGCCTGTTGGATTCAAGCAGCATATTTCTCTGCATTGCATCCTCTGTTGAAGCAACTGAAATTTCTCTGACATAAGCTTCTAACAAGGGTGGGAATATGGACTGTGCACACCGTGTACTTGTTATTTTAGGAGGATGCTTCAGTGAGTGAATTGCCCAGTTAATAAGTCTTGTTGAATTACATTTTTTTTCCCCCAGCACTGTGCTGGGCACTGTCAGGAATACAAAAGAAGCTTAGTACCTGGTCTTTGCCCACTGGCAGTATAGAGTGTTGCTGTAGAGGCAAGACTTATTTACATGTAATTATATAAAAAATGTAAATGAGCCAAATGCTTCATTGTATGGTACTGAGACTCAGTGTAGTCTAATTTCAGAGAAAGGGAAGTATCATCAAAGAAGGTGTTGCGAAATCAAGCCTTGAAAGAAGGGTAGGATCTGGAAAGGGAAAGACCTTTTTATTTTAGGGGAATAGCACATGCTGAGGAAGAGAAGAGTGCGATGAATTCTAGATAAAAGCGGTTACTTAAGGGCAGTTACTATCTGAGAACACAGCCTTGGTCACGATAGGAAAGATAGATGAAATGACTGAGGCTGGTACTGTGCCCGTATAGTTGAGGCCAGTTCTGGATTAACATCTCCTACATTGCCGTCTTTGTAATATTTTGCTTTGTATAATGACCCCTGTCAGGAGCCAGAGACTCTGTTCTTGCTTTTTGTCAAGAGGTAAGATGGAGAAGGAAATGGCAACCCGCTCCAGTGTTCTTGTCTAGAAAATCCCGTGAACAGAGGAGCCTGGTGGGCTGTAGTCCATGGGGTCGCGGAGTCAGGCACGACTGCAGCTTCTGAGCACATGCAGTGGTAGCAAGCATAGTGCCTGACATGTAGTAGGCATTCAGGAAGTGTGTTTACAGGCAACCAGAGAGGACTGTCTGCAGTTTCTGCTCTGGAAGTCTCCCAGTACCTGGTGCACTGGCGCCTTTGTTCACTCTGTTCTAGCAGAACTCTCTGCATGTGTTGCTCTGCTGAGAAATACCTGAGTCATTTAAAGCAAACTCTACTGTTTGATGATAATTAGAGATACCGATTACTGAGAGCCTGCTCCTGTGTTCTAGCCTTGCATTATTTCTAATTTCTAGAGTAACTCTGTGCAAAGCAGCTATTAAATTTCCCATCTTTAAGTTGAGGAAAGAGAGGCTCAGCGAAGTCAAGTTTCTTGTTAAAGGTCACACAGTAGGTAGCTGAATGGAAATTTGAACTCTGGTGTGCATAAAAAAGATTTTTCCAAGCTGCTCTCCATGGTGTATTTCTTAAAGTGATCTCGTATTTAGGTGAACGATTTTTATGTTTTCTTTCTTTTAATTTTTTGATTACAGAAATCTTCAAACATATAAAAATAGAGAGAAAAGTAGTATAAAGGAACTCCCATAATATGCTTATCAGCTGACTTCAGAAATCTTCAACACTTTTGTCTGTACCTCCTACCCTTCCTTTCCATCTAGACATCGTTTAATTTTGTTTGAAAATACTCCAGTGTGTTTCTAGAGTAGTGCTGTCTAATAAAATTTTCTGTATCTGTGCCATCAAGTATAGTATCTACCAGCCACATGTGGCTGTTGAGCATTTGAAATGTGACAAGTGTGGTCTGAGGAAATACATAGGTAACCACATGTGACTAAAATATTAATAGTCACTCCTTAATAATGTATGCCATTTAAAACCCTGAAACTGTTATTAAGGATGTATCAAAATTTTTTGTAGACAAGAGGTAGTATGTATTTGTGGTTTAAATAAAAAGAGTTCAAGCATTTAGAAAATGTATGATGCAGAAGATGAAACCCCTTGTCATTTTGCTGTAAATAATTATATATATGCTTTTTAAATTCAAAATATACAGATGCATAGTTCTTGTTGTAAATAGTATACTAATACAGTGGTTGGATACAGTATTTATGGAGTTGCTTCTTTTCAGATGAGCTTCAGTGAGATGAGGTGTGTACCATGAAGGTTGCCAGCCTCCTCAAAAGTGAGGTCTATTATAAAATATTCTAAGTGCACACCCATTAAAGCAGGGTCACCACTTCCTCATACACTGAGAGCTTGCATTTTGGCGTCAATGATCGCTGCGTGTGAAGCGGCAGCTCCTGCCTTCCGGAGGTCCCACGCGCTCTGGCTGTCGAGTGGCCTTGAGTTTCCCCAGCAGGTGTCACTGTTGGGCTGTTGCTGCCGCTGGGCTGGCAGGGACGAGACAGCGTAATTGCTGAGTGCACACATCTGCTTGAAGGGAGGGGGTTTCTTCTTCAGCTGTGTAGTAGGAGATAGTCTGAGGAGGCATGTTTTGATCCTTGCCTCTGCTGATGCAATCTATAGTATTTTCAGAAAGTGAGAATGTGAAGCAAAAGCATGTGTATTTCAGTATAGCGCTGTGTTACTTAACAGTGATAACCAGCTCACAGTTTATCTCCTTTTACCTATGGGCAGTGGAAAGCGACTCTCTCTATGGTCTTGATTCCAGATTACGATTTATAACTTGGATGGCAGGCCCTTTGCTTCACCACCAAGAGAAGCTTCTTTTGGGGTCTGATCGCCTTTGAGCTAGCAGGAGAAGATGAGGGTACTGTGGCTCCTTGCAGCAGGAGTCCCTGTGGCCCTGAAAGGCTGGTATGAAGGAAAAGAGAAAATTATTTTAAATGGCATCTTAAAACTGGAGACAATGTAGACTTTATGTAGCCCAGCCTCTGTCTCTCTCTCTCTCTCTCTCTCTTTTTCTAATTGATAAGGAAACTTAGATACATTGAGGGGAAGTGACTTACTGAGGTGCCTGTAGCAGATGGGAGTCAGAACTCCTGGGTCCTAAAGAGGGCACTCTTTCCTTCTCTTCATTTGAAATGAATGCTTTCACTGTCAGTTTTCTCTGTGAAAACCTCTGTTGCTCCTGTAGATCATTGCCTGAGGGGCTCTTCAGTAGACTTTGCTTTGTAAGAAATTGGAGCTCTGATAGCCCATTTGTAATTATTGTCACTGGGTAAATCAACATGATGTTTATAGGGACATGGGAGAAACACTATTTGAGTTATTTGCCACAGAACTGCGTTGACTAGTTCTTTTATTTATTTAAAAATATATTTTTAAAATTTATTTTTAAAATATTTTTAGTTTTATTTATCTGGCTGTGCCGGGCCTTAGTTGCTGCACTGGGCATCTTCAGTCTGGGATCTTTAGTTGCAGTATGCAAACGCTTAGTTGCAGCACATGGGATCTAGTCCCCTGACCAGCAGTTGGACCCAGGCCCGCCTGCATTGGGGGTGTGGAGTCTTAGCCATTGGACCACAAAGAAGTCCCTTTTTTAATATAATTTTGTTTATTTTCGGCGGTGCTGGGTCTTCGTTGCTGCGCAGGCTTTCTTTAGTTGTGGCAAGCGGGGGCTCCTCTCTTGTTGCAGTGCGCAGGCTTCTCATTGCAGTGGCTTCTTTAGTTGCAGAGCTCGGGCCCTAGGGCGCTTGGGCTTCAGTAGTTGCGGCTCCTGGGCTGTAGAGAGCAGGTTCAGTAGTTGTGGCTCACAGGCTCAGTTGCTCCACAGCATGTGGGATCCTCTCCGATCAGGGATTGATCCCATGTCTCCTGCATTGGCAGGAGAATTCTTTACCGCTGAGCCACCAGGGAAGACCCCAGTTTTTTTTGTTGGCTGCACAGCATGTGGGATCTTAGTCCCCCAACCAGGTTTCAGACTGGCATCCATTGCATTGGAAGCAAGAGTCGTAACCACTCAACTGCCAAGAAGTCCTTGTTATTCCTTTTAAAGTAATTGCATTAGGGAAGTTCACTTAGGGAAGTTCCGTTAGGGAAGGTGATTGTGCCTATATCCCTTACTGTACCTAGAATAGTGTCTGGCATATAGTAGGTGCTCAATAAATTGAATTCAAGTTGTCGAATTGAAGTTACATCCTCTGTGATTCAGTATGCAGTGTGTATCCTTTTTGGCTTTGTTAGTTAAAGGAGAAAAAAAAAATCATTATATCATATCCTTAGTCTCC